AAGTGTCATAATATAAGCTTGTCGGTGAATCGATTGTCAGTGAACCGAGATGTTAGCAAAATGAGTGTTGGTGAAATGAGCACCACCCTATTCCAACTGTCTTCTTTTCCAGATTTCTTACCAGTCTCTTCCTTACTTTTAGCCAGCAACCCGGAAGGGTTGGTCTGCCCAGGCTCAAGGTGTCTTAAAGTCTCTCTCCCCTTGGTACATGCTTCCAGAGTACAAGTCTTTTTCCTCTGATAGCAGGCTGGTGATTTGGCTAGTGTGTTCTCCCACTTAAGGACCTGGTCACTCGGTTCTCCGATCTCAGTTTTCGGTTTCAAATTCAGTCTTCTTGTAGTATTGTTAAAGATCACTGCTACTTCTCAACTCAGGACTTGCCAAACAAGTTTTCAGTTATTCCATTCCTTGGATTTATTGTGCTAGAGCTTCTTTTCAAGATGGTGTGACCAAGGTTACTGATTAGGATCCAACTGATAGTAATAGCTATTAACCATATTACAGGGCTATTTTTCAAAAATATCATCCATGGGATTCGAACTCTAGACCTGCTATCTGGGGTGTGACAACTCCACTGCTTCACTAAGTTACCACACCCCCAAATCATACTTTTTTAGATCTACACCAAATAGTACTTTATATAACTACAACCTCTATAATATCTATAGCTTATAGAATATATAGCTTCAACTTTATATTAGCAGTTTTCTTAACTATATTAATAATACACCTACTCTTAGCCTAACTACTTGTATCAGACTTTAACAACTTCAAAACAACTTATGGTCTACTACCAACTTTATTTATTATTCTAATCTTACAATTAATAGCCCCAATAGATACACTACTATTTTCAAGATTATACAACTTTTTAATTCTCTTAATATTTCTATTCTTTCTAACTCTAATCTCTCTTGGCACCAAACCATCTCTGGTAGTAACTCCTTTCTTGAAAATATTCTCTCTGTATACCCAAAATACCCTATTTTTAAACAACAACTATAATATAAAAATATCCATCTTCTTGAACAATTATGCTTTACAAATAACAAAGTACTAATTGACTAGTCTTATTTATCCCCAAAATTATTGCATATTTCTAAAAAGAAAAAACTAACCTGGTTTTAATAACTTGAAGATATAATCTTATTTTATATCTCCAATTATTTAATTTTAAATTCTTTTAATCTATTGAACAAAACTTATTTGCATACCAAACTGGTTTAATTAGTAAATCTTTTAAGCTATAAATACTTATCTGTATTAATAATAATAATATTAATAATCAAGTTTAAAAAGTATATTGCCAATCCAGTTTACTCTCAATTAACCACTAGCTATATAATATCAACACTTCTTATTCTTTCTACTACTCTTTACCAACTATTACCTATAAACTCTATTTAGAATGTAATCTTAACTCATATCATATATCCAACTACTGTACTTTAGAGATCTCTTCTATACTATCCATTCAATTCTTAAAAAGAAAATTTAGCAATAAACTCAAACTTAATGCTAATTACATTGATCTAATCGAATCTATTAATATCAAAAACCTCTCTTATATTCTACCTCTCTCTTTCTATTAATATTGTTAACTCTCTTGCATTTTTCTTATTCTACCATAATTTAGTATCTAATATTCTTATATAATTCTCTCTTGCTAACAAGTTTTTTCAACACTTTACTTTTTACACAGATAGCTTTGTTCTAAATCTCAATTATTTAATGACTCTATTATATATAACTTCTCTGCTCAGATTTCTAACTAGCTCTTATCCTATAAGGCAGAACTCTTAGCTATTCTCTTTGCTATCTCTACTATTCCTCACAATTCTTTAGTTGATATTTTTATTGACTCCCAATTAGTAATCTCTAAATACAACAAACTTCTCCAAACCTCTCACTTTACTATTAATTTCTTTAAATTTAATACTTGGCTAATCTGGTACACACTTCTTAACTTACTCAAAGTATATAATATTAGATTAACTCTTTACAAAGTTCAAGCTCACTTAAACAACACCTACAACAACTTAGCAAATCTTCTTGCTAATAATCACTTGCCTCACCAATCTTATTTTTTAATTACTCCAATATCCATAATCCTTACTTCTTTTTTTAATAGAAAAATACTTTTATTGAATGCTCTACTAGATGCTTCATTAAAAATATTTGTAATGCTAAAAGTATCACAATGTGGTTTTCACAAAGATGCTGTCAAGATTGGTTATACTTCTTTAACCTTATTAATTGGAACTCTACTTGGCTATTCTTAACAACAATTATAAAAGATCATACAACTTTACCAACCCCAAACTTAATCATCTTAAATTTTTTAAAATCAAAATATTACTAAATATGCTATCTACACAATTCTATATTAACTCTATATCATTCAGCTCTAATCTACCTTATCTTTACTTTTAATATAATCTTTCTAACTTATCATTCTACTGGTATATATACTCTAGTTTTAGCTCTTTAATCCAAATTATTAATTCCTCTATTACTGAGACTATTACCAACTTCAATCTTAATCTTCTCTATCAAGAAACTAATTACTTAATACATACAATTTCTTCTCACTCTGCTTTCTTCTTTCAGCTCTTTTTTCTTTACTAATTCTTTATTTATTTAACCCTTAAATACCTTATTCCTATTGCACTTGTACAATTTGTATTATCCTTTGATATTTTCTATTCTCTTACCTCTCAACTTATTATTCAAATTCTTATTAAAATCTCTAACCAACTTTATGATCATATATGGAAAACATAATGTAAAAACTTCTTTATATAGAAAAAAACACATCAAATCTTTAGCAATACTTTATCTACTCAACACTCCCATTACCTTCCTGTATAACTACTAGAACCAAAAGATTATTTACTTATAACTGCCTATATAATTTACCAGATCAACTCCATGATGAGTCTAATATCTGCCCTTCTGCTTGGCTTGCTAATCAAAATTTGATATCTGGTCTCCAATATGGATTCAATATAGCACCCCTACTAATTATATTTTAACTATTCAAATCTAGATAAGTCTTGACTACTCTAGTAAGTTTAGATCACAGATAACCAGTCTAGTTAATTCTAAACTTTTAGTTTGAGCTTTTATTCTTGCATATAGTTTATATTTATTTGTAATTACACAAATTAAGTTTTGTATAGTTTTTATATAATTACTTATATAAATTATTTAATAAAAATATAAGCAAGGCCTTATCTTAACAAATTAAAAATTATTTTACAAAATTTAGAGCAAATTTGTTTTGAATTTACTTACAAATTAAGGAATAATCAATATAATAGAAGTGAAGATAATGTTATACAAAAAGCAAAAAATTAAATGAATATATAAAAATATAATATATTTTAGTTGAATATTAATTTATATTAATTTGGTCTGATATAAATAGGTTGACACAGCCAGGTCTTAGTCCATGTAGGTAAGGTCTTTGGGCTGAGAACTACCTTTCGAATGTATGAAATCTTTAATATAAGGAGTTATTAATAAAAATAATGAAGTTAAACAATCTATACTTTTGCTACTATAAGAATAATAAATATCCAGGATATGTCAGTCAGTGTTTGGCAAAACATTAAACATCCAAAGTTTTTGTATATATTAAGTGGACTCATGGCTATATTCAAAATAATAAACATCTATATAAATAAAGCTGGAGTTTTAAATCAAATAAGAGGGCCAATCTCATTCCTAGTGAGGCTGTAACAAGAGCATTTAAGAGATAGGGTAACAAAAGCTTTTGTAATAGTGAATGGTGAACCAAGAATACTATGGTTCATGAAAGGAGTGATGGACCTAATCTGTATAAAAATTTTATAAAAAACCAATTACCTGAATTAGTGATGACTTGCTACTAGCAGGTCAGATAATTAGAGTCTGTAAGTAGTGAGTTGCTTGTTCTAAGGTCTTTGCTAGATGAGAAAATGAAATCATATACATTGGTACCTGAATATTAAAGATAACCACAAATACTGTTGAACCTCCCCAAACCGATATCCATGGTGGACCGATTTTGTATCAGTCTTGAGAGGTTATCAGATTTGGAAAACATTATAAACTATTAGATTTATATAACGGAAACGGACTTTGTAGACTAATTTTTTATCAGATTTGACAGGTTATCGGTTTTGAGAGGATCGATTTAGGGAGGTTCAACAGTAGTCAGCTTTTCTACAACTTTCCGTATGAAAAAAGGTTCATTATAAAAAATTGCTACCTTCTTAAAAACCTTGACATTTTTTTTGTACTGAATTACTATAAAAGTTTAAGCTTTAAGTAAGAGTTCATTATAGAAAAATCCTTTATATTCAGAGTATAAATCTCGAATTTTTATTTTTTTTTTTTACAATAGTATGTTTAAATTATTAATTATTAATAAACAGTATATTTATTTAGGTTAATATTTATTAATAGGCAAATAAATTTAAAAAAATAAAATGTCTATAACAGTAAAGTTAAGGTAGTATTTTCGCTATGTGATTTGAACATTTCTTCTTCAGGATCGAGTCCATTATTTTCAAGGTCTAAAAAAGTTAGCGTAGTATTTTCATTAAGAGCATTAGCTATTGCCTTTCCTCCTTCAGAGCCAAGTTCATTATTGCCAAGATTTAAAAATCTCAAAGTAGTATTGTTGCAAAGTGCATGTGCTAACTCCTTTCCTCCTTCAGGACCAAGTTGATTATCTTGAAGATCTAAAAAATTTAGATTTGTATTTTTACAAAGTGCTTCAGCTAAAATTTTTCCTACTTCAAAACCAAGTCTATTATCTTTAAGTATTAAAGAAGTTAAGGCAATGTTTTCACCAAGAGCCGCTGCTAGTACTTTTCCTCCTTCCAAACCGATTTCATTACATTTAAGATCTAAAGAAGATAGAGTAGTATTTTTACGAATAGCTTCAGCTAAAGCTTTTAATGCCTTTTCTCCTTTAGAACCAAGTTTATTTTCTCTAAGATTTAAAGATTCTAAAGTAGAATTTTTACAAAGGGCCTCTGCTAATACTTTTCCTCCTTCATAGCCAAGTATATTATTTTCCAAGTTTAAAGAAGTCAAAGTTTTGTTTGCACATAGAGCTTCTGCGAATGCTTTTCCTCCTCTAGGGCCGAGATTATTAAATCCAAGATCTAAAAAAGTCAAAATTGTATTTTTACAAATAGCTCTTGCTAAAATTCTGCCTCCTTCAGAATCTATTTCATTCCATTGGATACTTAGAGAAGTTAAAGAGGTATTTTTATAAAGAGCTCCTGCTAATGCCTTTGCACCATCATAACCAAGTTCATTTGATCCAAGATTTAAAGAAGTCAAAGCATTGTTTTTGTAAAGAAGATTTGCTAACGCTTTTCCTCCTTTTGGTCCTAGTTTATTGCCATTAAGATCTAGAAAAGTTAAAACGTTGTTGTCGTAAAGAGCTTCTGCTAACAATTCTCCTTCTTTATATTCAAAGCAATTACCACCAAGATTTAAATAAGTTAGAGTTGTGTTTTTGTGAAGTGTTAATGCCAGCGCTTTGCCACCTTCGAAACCAAGTTGATTATGTTCAATGTTCAAATCAGTCAGTTTAGTATTACTACAAAGAACTTTTGCTAATGCCTTTCCTCCCTCAGAACCAAGCTTATTAAAGCCAATGTTTAAAGACAATAAAGTGGTATTTTTACAAAGAGCTTTTGCTAATTTTTCTCCTCCGTTAGAACCAAGTCCATTTTTAGAAAGACATAAAGAAACTAAGTTAATGTTTTTGTAAAGAACATTTGTTAATTCACTTATTTTTTGGTCATCAAGATGTATAGCAATGTTCCAAATTGAAGCATTTTGTTTATCTTCATTATTATGTTGGTCATCCTCAAGAATTTCTTTATAAAGTTTTAATGCATTGACATATTTGCCTTTAGTAAAACATTCAAGTGCTTCTTTTCTCTTATTTACAAGTCTATTATTTTCATGATTATTTGAAGTTGAAGCTTCATTATTTGAAGCTGAAGCTTCATTAACTGTTTCGTTAGGAATATGACTATTTGAAGCTGAAGCTTCATTAGATGGTTCGTTAGGGATATGAATATTTGAAGTTGAAGCTTCATTAAATGATTCGTTAGGGATAGGATTATTTGAAGTTGAAACTTTATTTGATGTTTTGTTAAGGATATCATTTGAAGTTAAAACTTCATTTGATATTTCGTTAGGAATATGATTATTTAAAGATGAAGCCTCATCTAAAGTTTCGTTAGAGATATGATTATTC